GCCCAGCGACCCCGCCCGCCGCCCGGTGCGGCTGCTTCTCGGCCAGCCGGGCACGCGCGGTCGTGTCTGGCGCTGCCAAGAGAACTTTAAACGTGGAGGTGCTCCCCGGCCTGACCCGGGTGCACCTTGCGGACCGTGGTACCGGCGGTGTCGGTACCGGCGGCGGCTCCGCCGCGGCGCCCGCAGTGGCGCCCGCGACTCACGCCGCGCCTCCCTCCGCGCCCCGCCTGGTGCTCACTGTGCGGCTGGAGGAAGCGGATTGCCTGGATGCGGCGGTGGCGGCGGGGGTGCAGCGGGCGGCGGCGCAGACGTGCCTGGCGATGCTGTCGGAGCCAGGGGGCCTGTATCTGGATGTGAAGAGTGCCTACTCGACTCCCCACGACCTTCAGGCACGCGCAGCGCCCCCGCCTGCGCCCCTGCGTGTGCGCCCCTGTGTGTGTGTGCAGGGAGGAGCCCTGCCATGCGACTGGCCCGGCCAGCCGCGCGCCTGCTTGCTGCCTGCCTAGCTGCCTGCCCGCCTGCCCGCGCAGCTCAATGCCCGACTGCCCTTCCGGCCCGCCCGCCTGCTTGCCCGCCTGCTGCCCGCCCCTGCAGCTGTTTGTCAGCATGCTGCGCGGCCTGGGCATCACAACCAAGGCCGTATGCAGCTTCCAGCCCAAGCAGCTCAAGGTGGGCATGCGGGTGGGTGGTTGAGCATGTGCAGAGGATTCAGAGGGCCAGACGGGTGCAGTGCGCCGGGTTAATGGCCGCATGGCAGCAGCCGAGAGTAGCACCCAGAGCGAGCAGTGTATGCAAGGGTGGTGGGAGAGGAGGGGAGGGGAGAGGGGAGGGCCTGCGGATGGGGCGGCCTATGCCTGCGCCTGCGCCTAGCTGCAGCGGGGCCTTGTGGGGCCCGCTGCCTTGCGGCTCGCCCCTGGCGCCTCTGCCACCCTTCCCTGCTGCTCTGTATTGCCCTCCCTGTGCTGCCTGCTGCGCCTCCTGTACCGCCCGCTCCACGCCCACCCTGCTGCGTGCTGCGCCTCCTCGCGGCCTGCCCTGCAGATCGCGCCAGGCGTCTGCAACACCGTCCTGTTCTTCCATGGGCTCAGTGGGCTGGAGAATGCGTGCGACGCGGGGCGTGTGCCCCCCGGCCAGTTTGTGCTCTTCAACGGCGCATCCTTCCTGTCTGACCTGTCCCCGGGGGGCCTGCAGGCGAGCCCTCCCTGCTGCCTGGGCCACCGATGGTTGCCCAGGTGGCGCTGGTGGTGGTTGGCGGCGGGTCCTGGGCCGCACCTGCCTTACCAAGAAGCAGCAAGGCAAGGAGGCGGCAAGACGAGGACTTAGCTGGCCCCCCTTCCCTGCAGCTGCCCGAGGACCGCGCCGCGGAGCTGCTGGGCGGCTGCCGGCAGTACCCTCTGGATGCGCTGGTGGTGAGGCGGTACAAAGGCCTGGTGGAGCAGTACGGGTTTGCCGGCGGCATCTACGTGCAGGTGTGTGTTTGTGTGAGAGAGAGTGAGTGAGCGTGTGTTTGTGTTAGTAGTATTGTGCGTGCGTGTGTGTGTGCACCTTCCGCGGTTGGTGCTGCCTGGCCTACTCTGCAACCACCTGCTCCCGGCGGGCTGCCTGGCATGGCGCCGGGCTTGCCCCTTTGCCCGCGGGGCCCACCCCCTCCTCGCGCAGCGACACATGTCGCCCTCCCAACTCGCCGCCGCCCCGCCAACCGCCCATGTCACCCCCCGCCCCCACCACCACCACCACCACCCCGCCACAGGAGCCAGACACAGGGGCCAGTGCCGCGCAGGCGCTCATCGCGCTGCTGCGAGCCAACGAGGCGTACTTCCCACTGGGATTTGCCTACGGACACCTGCGCGACGCCGCGGTATGTACTGCCGCGGCTGGCGGAAGGGCGGCGCGCTGTGGGAGGGCGCTCTTGTCGGGGAGATTGCCCAGCATGGGCTTGCCTGTGCTGTGCTGTGCTGTGCTGTGCCATGCCGTGCCGTGCCGTGCTGTGCTGTTCCCAGACAAGCACGCTCGCGCTCCCATCACGCTGTGCCCCGCCGCCCCGCTGTGCCTGCCGCGACAGGTCAGCGTGCTGGAGCTGTCGGGGCGCGGCTTTGCCAGCCAGGAGGTGCTGGAGGAGCTGGCGTCTCGCGGGGAGCTGTCCAACAAGGCGAGGGGGAGGGAGGGGGGCGCAGGCAGCCACACACACAAAACAGCACCACACACATGCATGCATATGCATGCTTCGTTGATGCGCTTGCATTTTCGCTGCTGCCGAGCGCGCCACACCCACGCCCACACCCATCACCCATCACCGCTGTCGCTCTCGCACACGCCTCACACCTCCTGCCGTCCCCCTCGCACCTCCCGCCTGCTCCCGCCGCCCTCCAGGTCATCGCCAAGGTCGGCAGCGGGCAGCACCGCGGCGTCAGCCCCAACATCGCTGCCCAGTGGGCGGGCCGGCTGGTCACCTCCTCCAAGCTCCTCTCCCGCCGCGAGCAGCGCGCGCTCATCAGCCTGCTGGCGGAGCTGCCGCTGGGGGAGGGGTGCGTGCGCTTGCGCATGCGGCTGCTCTGCCTGGGCTGCTGCTTGTGCTGGTGCTGACTATTGTGCTAGAGGCGGGTGCTTCGCTTGCTGCGTGCGCTGTCCTGCGTGCCGCTGCACCGCCTGCTTGGCCCAGCCCTGGGCTGGAGGCTTCCCAGGCTCCTGGCTCTGCTTTGATGCGTGGTGTCGCTGTTGTGTCGCAGCCTGCTGGCGGTACTGGACGATCTGGGCGGTATCCCACGAATCGTACTGCGCTTCTTCCAGCACTACGAGTCCACCACGCCGGTGGGTGGTTTCAGTGTGTGCGTGTGTAGCTGTGTGCTTGCGATTGTGCGCATGTGTGTGTGTGTGTGCGCGCGTGTGGTGGTGGCAACATGTCCGTGGGGGGGACTCAACGCCGCCGCCCGCCGCCGTCCGCCGCCCTGCGGCGCAGATGACGCTGCTGGAGGCGGGATGGAACGCCAACCACCAGAAGGCCTTCCTGCGTCTGCTGCGCAACCGCGGCGCGCTGGCCGCGCTGCCGCCGCACCGCAAGGTCGAGCTGGCGCGCTTCTTCGTCGGGCCGCAGCTGAGGGTGGGTGGGCCGCAGTCTGGAGGGGGTGCGTGCGGGTATCTCTGGGTGTGCCTATGCGGGTGGGTGCTCCCGGGGCTGGGGGCTGGGGGCTCCAGACCGCAGCTGAGGGTGGGTGGCGCTGGGCAGTGAGCAGTCGCCGCTGCACGCCTTGTGGTCTTGTAAGGCTGGAGAGGGCAGGACCTGCGGCTGGGGATGTGTGTCTGGGAAGGGTGGGTGGATGGTGTGGCGCTGTCACGCACCTGCGACTCGGAGCTGTGTGTGTGTGTGTGTGTGTTGGACCCTGAGCCGCTCCCCTCCCCACTGGCATGCCGGCCTGCCCTCCCTGCGGCGCAGGGCTACGGGCTGACCTACATCCTCATGTTCACCCGCCTGCGCCTGGGGCTGCACAAGCACGCCAAGGAGGGGCTGCTGTGCCTGCTGGAGAGCTGCACGGGCGATGAGTATGCGCGGGTGGGTGGCCCTGGATGGGCGTGTGGTGGTGGGTGTGGCGGAGGCTGGTTGAGAGGTATCCGGCTGTGGTGTGCGGTGTTGTGATGTGCCTTGCGGTGGTGGGGGGCGGGTGCCTGCGTGTGTGTTGGGGTAGTCGTGTGTGCTGTGTTGCACTGCACGCACCGCGGCGGCGCTCTCCGCCACGGCCACCACCTGCCTGCCTCCGCCACCACCTGCCTCCACCTCCGCCTCCGCCTGCCGCGGGCCTGACCCGCGCCTGCCCCCGCCCTCGACAGGTGCTGCTGGCTCTGGGGGGGCGGGGCAAGGTGGAGCGCAAGCTGCGCGGCCGCTGGCGCCTCTCCTGGCACTACACGCGGCGCATGGCCGACGTGGAGGCCCTACACGCCACCTCTCCGCTCGCACTGGCATACGAGGACCGCCAGCTCAAGTACTCGGCTCTTCCGGGGGCGGCCGAGGCCCCCGCTGGCGGCGGCGGCGGAGGCAAGGCCGGGGGGGCCGCGGGGGATGATGTGGAGCAGGGGCGCGGGGCCCCCTTCAACCACCTGCACACGAGGGACAAGCTGCCACGGGAGCGGGTCAGGTGAGGGAGGCAAGGGGGTTTAGGGTCCAGCGCGGGCGCAGCAGCGCAGGGCCCTGTCTGCGCAATGTGCTCCTGCTGTCGCCGTCACTAGCGGCTGCCTGCCCCACACACACCATGCCCACCCCTACCGACCTGCGGCCGCGCTCACGCCTACGCCCCGCGCGCCTGCCGCCTCTCCCACCCGCGCCCCCGCCCCCGCAGGCGCCAGCTGCGCAAGCTGGGCTGCTGCCTGTGCACGCTCAACAACTGCGCGTGGCTCAACGTGCTCACCCTGGGCCTCTTCACAGTGGTCTGCTTGTACCCTCGAGCCATCGGCGCCACCTTCAAGGGCACCTGCGCCATGCCCGCGGCGGTGGCCTTTGTCCTCGGGCTGCTGGTGGCGGTGGGGCTCTACATCTTCCTCATCTTCGTGGCCCCGGACGCAGTCTTTTGATGAAGAAATGTCATGGGGACGGGTGGCGGCTGTCACTACCCATTATGGGGCCGGGTGGTGGCAGCTGTCCCGTCCAAACTCAAAACCTCAACACCTGGCACTGGCTGAGAGAGCTATCCTGTTTGTGTGTGCTGGGAGCTCAACCGCTAACCGTGTGTTTGGCTGCTTCATTTATGCAAACAACAAAGCCAACTGGCGATCGGCGCGGTCGAGCAAGTGCGGACCGGGCCCGGCGTGTCAGGAACAAAATGAAAGCGAGGTGGCGTGCACGCCAGTACAAAATGTACAAAATGTGCTTTGCCTGTACTGTCAACATGCGCAAAGCGGGGGACCCAGCGCAGCAACTCGGGCAGGCAAGGCGGCGGCACCTGGCGCGCCTGCCTGCCTCGCCTCTCCCACGGGCACCCCTCCTTGCCGGCCCTGCCCTGGGGGCGATCCCCTCAGAACTGCCAGCGCGAGTGGTAGCTGACCACGGCGGCGGGTGAGGTCCAGTCGGGCAGGTCGGCCAGGAGCTGGCGAGTCGCCGCGCTTTCCTCCACAAACTTGACGTACAGCCCGACGCGCAGCTTCTCGCCAGCTGGCACGTCCAGCCAGAAATGGTACCGCCGCGCGTGCAGGTTGCCGGCAAAGCGCACCATGTGGGAGGCGCCGCCCTGCGTGCCGCGGCAAGGAAAAGGCACAGGGAGAGGCGCATGCAGCCCAAGATGGGCAGGATGAAAGGGGCGGAGGAGGCAAGGGGGCAGCATGCGGCGCGGCCGCTGCCGCACAGGACTAAGGCGCATACCTGCCTGCAGCGCCCCCCCAACACACCCCACCACCACACACACACACGGGCGCACCTGCGGCGCCTCTGTCTGCGCCACACCGTCGCTGAGGCTCCACCCCAATAGGCTGCCGCCGCCTGCCAGCGTGAAGTTCATCACTCCCCAGGCCCCTCCCTTGCCTGTGTCCAGCTCCAAATCCAGCCTGTCCACCTGCCGCCCGGCTTCCGCCTGCGGTACCGGCCCGCGGCTGTGCATGCGCAGCGCGGGCAGCGGCGCCGCGGCGCCGTCGGGGTCCTCGGCGGCGGGCACCACGCGGGCCTCCCCCACGCTGATGAGATAGTTGAGTGGATAGAGGGCCTGCGGCAGGCGGGGGGCAGCAGGTGGGAGCAAGTGGACTGCAGGCGGGCAGCAGGCAGCAGCGCAGCGGGTGGAGCAGGCAAAGGGCAGCTGCGGCGGCAGCACCAGAAGCAGTGGTGACGGAGCGTGCAGATGGCCTGCAAAAAGCAAAGAGCAGCCATGGCGGCAGTGGCGGCAGCGCCACCAGCCCGCTGCCTGCCCCAGCCGCACCTCCCACTCATCCACCGAAAAGTCGGCGGCGGGCCGCTGCAGGAAGGTGGGGGGCAGGGCGGCAGCCAGCGGCACGCTGTCCAGGCCCACCACGCTCAGCTTTGATTCCTGGATGCCGCCACCTGCAGTACCAAATGTACCGGAGAAAGTCTTGACGCCGTGCCCGCAGAGAAAGCGCGGAGAGAGCACAGGCAGGCGCTGGCAGGGGAGCAGTGATTGCACGCCGGCTGGCATCATATTGCGGCGCGCCGTGTTCCCAGGAAGACGTCAAAACAGAACATGTACGCACGCAAGCGCACGGCTTGCCTGGCCCCTGCACGTGGATGTGCTGCACCAGCAGGCGCTTGGGGTGGTCCCGGCTGTACTGCTGGGGGTACCGCAGGGATCCCACCGCCGCCGCCGCCAGCGAGGCCGCCAGCAGGGCGGCCGCCAGCTGGCGCACTCGCCGCGGTCCCAGCGCGCCCAGCAGGTAGGGCGTCAGCGTGCCCAGCGTGAGCAGTACCGTGGCCCCAGCCACCGCCCCCACCGCGGTATCTGCCAGTACCAGGCCCAGCAGCCCGGGGGCCCCGCCCGCCAGCCCCACCTTCTCCATGACCTGCACCGGCAGCGGGCTGGGTGACCCCCTCTGAGAAAGAAGCAGCTGGAAGGGGAGGAAACAGAGAAGAAGAAGAAGAAGAAGAAGAAGAGAACAAAGGGAAAGGGCGCACGGCGGCGGCGGGCAACGGCGGCCAGGCCCAGCCGCCCGGCCTGCAGCGTCCGCGCCGCGGCCATTGGCAGTCATCGCGTGCCGCCATTGGCAGTCGTCGCTTGCCGGCTTGCAGCTCACATGTGCCATGAAGGTGGTTGAGGAGGGCAGGACCACGGCCAGCGGCGGCAGGAAGCAGGCCACCAGCGCGGCGGCGCCGCCCCAGCCGCGGCCGCCCTCGCCGCCGCCGCCGAGCGCCGCCGCCGCCAGGGCCGCAGACGCGGCCCACAGGGCATAGAAGAACGAGGAGTGCTGCGGGTAGCGGGAGGGGGGCGGAAAGGAAAGGAAAGGCACATCGGGAGGCGTGAGAGCGGTGGCCGGCCACAGCTGCTCAGCCCCGCAACCCACAAGCTCTCGGCTCAGCACGCTGCCGTGCGTGCGCGTGTGCATGTGCGAGCAGAGGCGGGAGGTGAGGAGGCGCGGCAGGCGGGCGGCCGCACCATTCCGATGGAGGTCAGCCCGGAGCAGAGCAGGGCGAAGAGCAGGGCGGCGCCCAGGCTTCGCGAGGCGGCGGCGCCGCGCGGCGCGGGCAGCGCCGCGTACGGGAGCACCAGGCCCGCGGCAGCGGCCGGCAGGTAGACGGCATATGCCAGCAGCGGGCGGCCGTACCAGACCATGGCGGTACCTGCAGAAAGCAGGGCAGGCGGGGGCACCGGGTGGTGGCGGCAGCGGTCGAGGGCGGGGAGATGCGCGGGCTGCGGTGCGTGTGGTGGCAAGCAAGGGCGGGCCACGGCTGCATGCATGGGGTGCAACAGTGCATGGGGTGCAACGGGCGGTGGGTAGCTTGGGAGCACCACCGCTGGGATGGGCTGCTGCCGCCTGCGGGCAGCCAGCAAGCCGGCGCGGCAGCCGAAGCAACTGGCGGCGCACCCGAGGCGGCGGCGCGCGCCGCGCCCACCGCAGCCGGCACCAGCACAGCACCCAGAAGGGAGACCGCGGCCAGCGCCGTGCTGCCGGCCAGGCGGCGCCAGGTGACGGGCGCGCCGCCGCCGGCGGAGCCCAGCAGGGGGAGCAGCAGGATGATGAAGAGGGGGGCGTGGTGGAGGGCCTTGGCCTGGGCATGGGAGTAGATGACCTGGCAGAGGGCAGAGGAGGAAAGCACAGCATGCGCACATGAACACGCACACACGCCAGCAGTGGGGCGTGAAGGAAGAGGCACGCACAGCAACGGGGCGGCAGATGCACAACAGAAGCGCACACGCACACCAAGCAGCGCAGCCGTGCGGGGGACCTGCGTGCCGTGCAGCTCCCTAGCAAGGCCTGCCCTGCCCTGCCCCCTGCTTGCCCTGCCCCTCACTGCCCTGCACCCTGCCTGCCCTGCACCCTGCCTCGCCTCCCCTGCCCTGCCCTGCCCTGCACCACCCTGCCTCCCCTGCCTCACCATGGTGCGCCCCCACAAGTCAAAGTACACAGAGCCGCCGGCATGGTCGGCTGAGGGCACGGCGGGGTCGGTCGCCAGCACGCGGGCAAACTCCTGCACGGCTGCCAGCACATTGTCGCCCATGGCCTGCAGCAGCAGAGGGGACGATGCATCCCCATATGGGTTGGAGGGCGAGGGCGTTGTGGGTGCGCCTGTGCGGTGTGGTGTGACGAGTGTGGGCATGGGCTCGGAGCCACCAATCATGCCAATGCCGATGCCGCTGCTTGCACCCCGGACCGCGCATCTTCTGCCTCTATGCCCCCGTGCAACTTTCCACAACCGGGCACACACACAAGCCACCACCAGCACATACACCCGTGCAGCCACACGTGGCGGTACACCAGTCCTGTGCAGTACCTGCAGCGTGCCGGGGCGGATGCGCGCCACCTCGTCCCGTGCGGTGTGGTAGGCGGTACCGTCGAAAATGAACGCAATGTCGATGCCTGCAGGGAGGACAGGTGGTGTGGCGTGGTATGGTGTGGTATGGTGTGGTGCGGTGTGGTGTGGTGCGGTGCGTAGTGTAGAGTGGTGTGCCGCCTGCCAGCAAACAGGCCCGGCAAGGGCTTGAACGGCGGCGCTGCCCAGCCCTCCAATGGCAGCAGCCCACCCGGCAGCGAGCCGTAGTGCCGGTAGGAGAACATGCGGTAGTCGGTGTCGGCTGGGATGAGGCCTGCAGGGACGAGGAGGGCGGGACGAAAGCAGGGGTGGCAGGAGGAGATGGTGCAGGAGATCAGGAGACGACCAGTCTACAGTCCTCTTCCCTAGCCCCCTTGGCTCTCCAGGCAGGGAACACCGGAAAGGCCCCGCATCCCCGCCACTCCCTCGCTCGTGAGGGAGCACACACAAATCAGACCAGCCCGCTGCCCGCTCGTCGGTTTGTCGAGGTCCCGACTGTGGCGCTGCACCCCAGACACACGCCGCACACACCTCCCACAGGGGATACCCACAACCACCCAGGCCGAAACAGTCCCCTGTGAGAAGGACAGCACCCGCACCCACACCCACCCACCCACAAACCCTACACCACCGCTCCCACCCACCCACCCACTGCAGTGCGCCACCCACCCAGGTCGAAGAAGTCTTGGGCCATGGTGGTGCCGCGGGGGCGGGGCGCGGAGCGCGCGTACGCCGCCAGCGTCCAGTCCCCCGTGTGCTGCACGCACGCGGGGAAACCACCGGTAATACTTAGCATGCGAATGATTGGAAGCCTCGACCGTCGGGCAGGCGCCGTGCCTGTGCGCCGCGCCTGTGCAGCGCGCGCGCAAGGTGTGTGCAGGGGCACAGGCGTTGCCGTGCGAGCTGGGTGGCCCCGGTGGCCCCACCTGAAAGACCACGTCTGGGCCCCAGGGGCCAGTGGACTCCAGGTTGATGAAGGCGCCAAGGTCCCGCGCAAACCTGGCCGCGGGGGGCAGTGGAGGGGTGTGAGTGGGTGGGTGGGTGGGAGATGTGTGGGAGGTGGTGGGTGGTGCGTGGTGGGTGGTGGCCGGGAGATGGGG